GTTTCCGCGGGTCCTTAAAACGTCTTCAGTTAAATTGTTTACATTTAAGGCCATGCAAACTATTAAATGGTACAAAAAGTCTAAATTATAAGAGGTCTTTGGGGACGGAAAGACAAGAATTGTTATATGGATTAATATGACGATTAAACTACAAAAGGCTACGATTTCACTGAATAAACTTGAGCGCTGCACGTCAGCTTTGTGTACTGCGGTTACCGAGGAAACCACTGTATTTCTGCAGTTCAGAAAGTGACACCTGCAGCCAGAGAACGAATTTGCTTTTTCAAAAAGCCCATATGCTATGTTTGCTACATATTTTAAAATGTGAACCAGTGGATCAACAAAAAGCTAATGCAGTATAAAAATCTAAACAATTAAGACACTAAGATATATGTATATGTTATTTAATATAATAATTAATTGATAATAATTGTTTAAATTAATATAATAATTGATACTTTCGACTCATCCCTCAAATTCTTAAAAATTGTTTAAAGGCTGAAATGTGAAGTGCAGATCTTAAAAAGGTCTTTAAAGGTCTTAAATTTGATTTGAAAAGTTTTATACTTATTGAGTAAAACGGTGTAAAAGGTGTGTGGACGTGGATTAGTAATCTGGGCCCTTGGTATAAAGGAGAAAAAATGCTGGCCCTGTCACTATCAAAGTTGCCCATCCCTGGTCTAGAGTCTAGAATATTAGCTATATTCTGTACGTTTAACTCGTGTACGATAATTTTCTTCCAAATACGATAATTCTGAGCTTCTGGTACGATACTTGGACATTTCCAATCTGGCAACACTGAGTCCCACTGATTGGTCGTTTTCCGTTGCTTTCCATCCAGGTGACCAGTGAACGCCGACGCTTTCCCGTGTTTGTTATGGTTTTTAACCTACAGTTCAATGGTGTTTAATCTGATTTTAGAGCAGTTTAGCGTCTTTCGCCCTGAACCGATTGAGTATCGCGTTAAAAATAGTTACTTCACGTTTCTATTCTATGCCTGCTTGATTTCCAACGAAAAAAATAAATCCCCAATAAATCATGCAGACGAGGCTTGGTAAAGTTCCGTGAAGTTGTTTCATTCGTGAACAGTACACTCAAAATAGTAAGATTTCTTCATTTGCTAGCTAATTATTTACGTCTTTTTTAACGCCAGACCTACTGCTACTAGGCAAACGTAACGTAACTTAACGTAATTAATATTCATGAGCAAAGTGAAGCCGTTACCTGATACGGACTACAAAAAAGTAATCCATATCAAGTACATTGCTATTATATCATTTTTTTTAAGTATTATGAATATATTAAAGTGAGGGGTTCACTGTCTTTTCTCTCCTGAAGAAAGATCTGATGGTGCAGCAACAGGTTCAGAGGGCGTTTGGGGTTGACGCTCTTGTTTCCTCCCACCCGCTTTCTTCACGAGAGGATGAAGTCATCACACCGGATCAAATCGATCAGTTATTTGATACCATCACGTATAGCAAGGTTTTCATCATGTGCCAAAAACAACTTGAAATAACACTGTTAAGCAGTGTCGTATTGCAGTGTTTTAGTTAATGCTAAATTCTTGTCATTTCAGGGGGCTGCAATACTAAGAATGCTGTCTGAGTTTCTGACAGAGTCTATCTTTGCTAATGGACTTCATGTATGTCTGAAGAGTTTGAGGTTTTAAAAGTATTTTATGATGCATTAATGTGACTTTTAGAGTGACTTTTTCTCAGACGAACACCCGTGCATTATTTCCACAGAACTATTTGCACGAGTATGCATACAGCAACACTGTGTACACAGATCTTTGGAAAAAACTGCAGGAAGTAAGTTACAAAATTGATGCAATGGAATCCTTAAATATTAGTGTAAGCGTGTTTGTCTTTTCAACCATACTTTTCATTATGTTTCATTATAAATCTTTTTCAGGTTGTAGACGCAGATTCAAGCATCCAGCTCCCAGCCTCAATAAATCAAATTATGAATGGCTGGATTCTTCAGATGGGTTTTCCTGTAGTAACTATTGACACTCGAACAGGAAGTATCACTCAGCAGCACTTCCTGATACACCCAGAGGCAGTAGTGGACAAGCCATCTGACTACAAGTATGTTTAAACTGACAAATGTGCCAACAGAGTCCTGTCCTTTTAAAGTATACTGTGTGTATGTTCAAAAATTATTGCAGTTATGAATGGTTTGTGCCAATCACATGGATGAAGAGTGGCAGTAACATGGGCCAGCACTGGCTGCTTACTAAAACAGCTTCCTATGAGCCCATGAAGACTGATACTGACTGGTTATTGGCCAACCTGAATGTCACGGGATACTACAGGGTTAATTATGATCCCCAGAACTGGGAACGTCTCCTCACACAACTGAATTCAGATCATAGCGTAGGTATCTCATTATCTTTAAATTAATTAAAAACATTAAGCATCAAAGTAGCATACCTGAATAAAATCCAAATTTAGCAAAACTGTAACAAAATTATATGGTTATATAGTATTAAATATAGTAGTCAACAACATTTGAAGTGGATCAAAAAAGTTCATCAAATTTGTCCTAAGACAAGAACTCATTTTGGTTTTAGAACAACTTTGATGAAAGGTTTTGATCCACTTCAAATGTTGACTAGTGCTAGTGCATTACAATCTTTATAATATATATTGTTCTGCTGTATAATTTTGTAGTTCTGAATTGTTCTAATATATAATTATAAATGATATTTACTAGTAACTTGATATAATATACATATAATAAATAATAACATAATATAACATTTGATTTTACCCTCTTTTCACATAGGTTATTCCAGTTCTTAATAGGGGCCAGATAATCGATGATGCATTTAATTTGGTGAGGTAAGCTCTCTGCTGCAAAGATATTTAATCAATGGACAATTCCTCAGGGCATCAATTTCATCAAAAAATTATCTTTCCGTAAATAATAAAATAATTGAAAATCTGAATCTGATTATTCATAGGGCAGAGATAATCAACATAACCTTGGCTCTGAGAACAACCAAGTATCTCTACGAGGAGAAGGAGTACATACCGTGGGAATCTGCCATAAGAAATTTGGAGTACTTTTTCCTCATGTTTGACCGAACAGAAGTCTATGGACCTTTGCAGGTATGTTTGTTACATATTATGCATATATATGCAGCTTATACATAAAAAAAATTCAGTACACAGAGAATGCTCATTATGTTTATGGGAGTTCAGTTCAGTTCCACTCCGAATTCAGTTCAAGCCAGTTTAGCTTTTTCTAGGTCTGTCCATACCATTGATTTTAGTTTAGTTCAGTTAATAAATTTTATTAGATTCAAGTCAGAATTTAGTTCAAGCTAGTTCAGTTATTTCTAGTTATTTGTAAATCTTTTTATGAGATTTTAATTCAATTCAGTTCCAGTTGAGTTCTTTTTAAGTCTATTGATTTCACTGATTTTAGTTTAGTTCAGTAAATCAGTTTAATTCAATTCAGAATTCAGTTAAAAGCATTTAGGATCTTTCTAGCAAATACAATTTCATTCAGACATTGTTCAGTTTAATTCAAGCCAGCTCACTTCAGATCTTTCTGGTTTGGTTCAGTTCAGTTGTGTTTATTTCGGTTTGATTTTTTTTTTTCCACTCAAGAATTCCCCCAAATCTGAAGGTCACCGTGTACTGTAATGCCATCGCCGCTGGAGGTGTTGAGGAGTGGGATTTCGGGTGGCAGATGTTCAAGAACAGTACCATTGCTGCAGAGGCAGAGAAACTGTTATATGGTCTATCATGCACTAAAGAGCCCTGGCTGTTAAACAGGTGAGTCATGTATACTACATCTTAAAACATAAACTACCAAAAATTAATACTTTTATTCAGTAAAGATGCATTAAATTGATCAAAAGTGACAGTAAAGACATTCTATTTCAACTAAATGCTGTTGTTGTTGTTTTTTTTTTTACTTTTCTATTAATAAAAGAATCCTAAAACAAATATGTGTCCACAAAAATATTAAGCAGTATAGCCGCTGTCAACATTGATAATAATAATAAATGCTTCTTGAGCAGCAAATCAGTGTATTAGAATTTCTGAAGACTGGAGTAATGATGCTGAAAATTCAGCTTTGCATCACAGGAATAAATTACATTTTAAAATATATTCAAATAGAAAACAGTTATTTTAAATTGTAATAATATTTCACAATATTAATCTTTTCACTGTATTTTATGAACAAATAAACGCAGCTTTGATGAGCATAAGCTTCTTTAAAAAAAAAAAAAAAAAAAAAAAATCTTTATAACGATACTTATTAATTTATGTTTTTGCATTTAAAAAAAAAAAAAAAAAAAGATCTTACTGACCCAAACTTTTGAATGGTAGCTTATATTTTATATGACGGACGTCCGTTTATTTTAATTAATTAATTTTATTAATTTAACTAAGTCTCGTACATGTAACGTATACTCATTTAATTGCCTTCTGTTTTCTAAAGGTACCTGGAATACTCAATCGATCCAAACCTGATCAGGAAGCAGGACGTTACCTACGCCATTGTGTATATTGCAGGCAATGTAATAGGGCAGCCGTTGGTTTGGGACTTTATCAGAGCAAACTGGGAGCATATAACTAAGGAGTAAGTACTGTATTTCCTTCTTTCTTTCTAAATGTATATTTATATTCTCTACTGACATTTTCTATCATGTGATCTCCGTAGTTTTGATGATGGATCCTTCTTTTTTGGAAGACTGATTAAAGGCATCACAAAAAAGTTTTCCACAGAATTTGAACTGCAACAGGTTTGTGCTATTTGAATAAGAGCTTGTATTTGCAAATGCAAAACATATATTATTACACTACTGTTTAAATGTTTAGGGTCTGTACGATTTTTCAGGTGTTTTTGAAAGTCTCTTATATTATTCAACAAGGCTGCATACTGTTTATTTTATTAAAAAGCAGTAGTATTGTGAAATACTACTGCATTTAAAAATATTGATTTTCTACTGTAATATATTTTAAAATGTAATTTATTCCTATGATGGGACAGCTCAAGTAACATTTCTTATTATTATTAATGTTTAAAACAGTTATTTAAAAATATAAAAAAATATATTAAAAAATATTAAAAATATTAAAAATATATTAAAAAATATTTTTTTTCTGGAAACCATGAGACATTTTTTCAAGGATTCGTTGTTGAATAGAAAGTTCAAAGGAACAGCATTTCTATTCAAAATAGAAATCTTTTGTAGCATTTAAATGTCTTTACTGTAACTTTTGATCAATTTAATTAATCTTTGCTGAATAAAACGGTCTCAAAAATCTTAGTGACCTCTTAGTGACTTTTAAACCGTAGCAAATATGTACTATTTTTTATCTTAAAGGGGTCATATGATGCGATTTCAATTTTTCCTACCAAATACACAAAATAATGATCTTTAAAATAGCATCATATGACCCCTTTAAATTTAAGCTTAAGATTAGCTAAAATTGTTGTGATGCTATATTCTATTTTTCTTTTTTTTCTTGAGATGTGTGGTAGACATGATGACATATATAGAAAATATGGAAATGTGTGTACTTATCCCTTTCTTTCTCTCGGTTTCTTTGACTAATCACAGTTGCAGCGATTTAAAGAGGACATTGCCGCAAGCAGTTTTAGTTTTGGTATGCAGGCAATAGAGCGGGCCATTGAACAAACAAAAGCCAACATTAAATGGATATCTGAAAACAAAGCGCAAGTGATGAACTGGCTGATTGAACAGTCAGACTAAACACAGTCTCATTATGACCGTTTGTGTATAATATTTACATACTTGCTAAGTATTACATACTGTATATTTATATTTTGAAAATACAGACATTTTATAATCAAGTTTGATAATTAGCTGTTCTGTGCCTTTGATTATTAAATTAGATCACAAAATATTTTGCAGTATTTTATTACGTAGTTGTTTAAACTCTGATGTTTAAGAGTTCTTCTTTTGCTCAGACAAAAAATATATTTGTATGCATTTAAATATTTTGCAAATAAACATCAAATATATTTTGTTTATAATCACCAGTTATATTGTACTGTCATTCATGATTCAACATTTCTTCATTGTTCTTCAAGTAGTTTCATTGCCTTTAGAAAGTACATTTTCTTTTTATGAAATTCAACCTCAATCTAATTGTTTGTTTGTTTGTGAAATACCTATGGAGGAAACGAACGGGGGAAAAAAACATCTTTTGCACATACTGCTTATGAAAGATGAACTAATGGCATCCGCAGTGGAATGGACCTTCAGTAACACAGGCCAAGATGTAACAGCACATTACAGGACTTGTTGTTTCTGTAACTAGATGAACGTGATTAATTCTTCTGTGTCGTTAGGGGCTCAACAGAGGAAGTAGACAAGACTGCACAAATGGGAGGAAGGGAGTGTGAGGAAGTGATTCATTATTATGGTGTCTGAAAGCAGTTGCAGACTTGTCACCTTTAAGACTCTTACGACTTACGACATTGAAGAACAGCTGTCACTCACGTCACTAATGGTGCTATTAATATCTTTAATAAACTCACATCAAGGTTTTTGTGTTGTTGTGCAATCTGACATGGGATCGTGAGATTCTCATCATGTTGCCTTGTTGCTGGCACCATGGGTGCTTAAAGGAATAGTTTACCCAAAATGTAAAATTTGCTGAAAATGTACTCACCCTCAGGCCATCAAAGATGTAGATGATTTGAAGAAATTGAGCATTACATCACTTGCTCACCAATGGATCCTCTGCAGTGAATGGGTGCCGTCAGAATGGATGAAGCATTATTATGGATTATGGACTCATGTTTTGGTCAGAAGCGATGGTTTAAAGTTCAAATGCCTTAATGATGGATTTGTTTCTTACAAACACACACACAGATTTTCACTGGAGTGGTGTGGATTACTTGTGGATTATTGGGATGTTTTTATCAGCTGTTTGGACTCTCATTCTGATGGCACCCATTCACTGCAGAGGATGCAAGTGATGCAATGCTACATTTCTTTATATCTGTTCCGATGATGAAGAAACAAACTCAATTATATCTTGGATGGTCCAATGGAATTTTCAGCAATTTTTCGTTTTTGGGCGAACTTTTCCTAGTTCCTCTAGATAAAAGATATTAGGAAACACACCAGTTTATCTATTTAGCTTGAAAGAGGCATCAGACCTTGCATTTCAGAAGAAGAGCCCCACAGAGCTTTGTTTACAGTCTGAGGGGTATTAAAGGATCTCACCTGTGAGAGTTAGTTTACTCTCCTGCCCACATTAATGCTTGCTCTGCAGGGGTGTTTCCTTAAATGTGTGAATTACAACGTGGAATGACCATCACAGCTGTCCCTCGTTAGGATGCTGCTTAATGATCTGTTTTATGGTGTACATTGTTTAATAATATTGAAATCATTTGTATGTAATGTTTAAAACACAAAACTCACAAAACTGATGTAAGATTTTTCAAGGCTTTATTTGCCAGAAAATATACAATTCATAAATATTAATATATTTTTAAACATAGAAAAATATAAATAGCTGTACAAACATATAAAGTATTTCATTTTCATTATCTTACACACATTGCACAAATTAATATTTGCATTCAGATTGTGCATTTCATTCTGCTTTGATCAGCACTCTCCGTGGAAGAAATTGTGTTGCTCGAGAAACCAACAGTCCTGAGCTGGGAAGGATAGAAATTCGCCTTCGACTGGATTCGGAGTCTGGAAAAATAAAATACAGATCAAATTAAGAAAAAGAACAGGATACATATATATTTTTTTAATTTAATTCAATTTTTAAAATGCAAAGAATTGAATAATTATTATTATTAAAAATTATTTTATAAATATAACAGCATAACAACCTGGTTTATTATAGTTAAGTAATTTTAAAACTAAAATGAAAACCATTCAAATATTTACTTTAAATAAAAATAAATGTTTTTAAAAAACTTAAACAAGTGCCTAACTATAAACTAACTAAATCTAACTAATTAAAAAAAACGAATAAAAAATACAAAAATTTTAACAAAAATTAAAATAAAAAATAGAAAAATAGAAACTAAGTTATCCTAAAAAAGCACTTAAAGTACAATATTGCCTATGAAGTCTAAATTTACTACAAATTTACAAAATATTTAGTAATAAATATTATTTAAAATAGTCTATAAACACTGTTGAAGTACAATGTACATACCTGATAACAGGTCATAGATGGGAACTGCTGAGCTGGTAAACTTTGAGTAACTGAAGGGGTCGCAGTGAAGCTGTCAAAGATGGTTGATGCAGCATTGACCTCGGCCTGAGCTCCACAATTAACCTTGTCTTCACTAAGTTCGAGCTGAGCAGACAGGCAAGAGATGTACTGGATAGTGAGCCGCAGCGTCTCGATCTTGGTCAAGGTTTTTCCGACAGGAGCCACCGACGGAGGCAGGTACGTCCTGAGGTGATGAAGAGCTTTGGTCAGATCCCTCATCCTCAGCTTCTCCCGCTCACTTGCGGTTTGCCGTTTCACTCCAGGGAATTTTGACCTTGGCCGCCCGGTTCTCTTGGGTGGCTGGACCTTGTTCTTCTCCTGGGTGGTGATGCTGTGGTGTGGGAAGATCTGGGGTATGTCCTGTCCCACTCCACAAGGGTAAGCTGGAGGGGAGAAGCCGCAGGAATCTATGGAAGAGGCTGGAGACAGGCTGCTGCAGGCGCTGTAGTAGCCCGCATCTGATACGGCGTAGCTCTGATCCAGAAGCTTCTCACAGTTAAACAGGAAAGGGCCGCTGTCTTGGAGCTGAAGAGAAGAGCTGGAGGTATCCATGGCTGTAGTGTTGAGAAGGTCTCTGCTGAATGAGGTTGTGGTTGCTGGTGGACCGTGTTCCTCCTGAATATATCCTCCGTGAGGTGCGAGTTGGCACCTCAGAGGATCCCAGTCAGTACTTGAGAGGAGAAGTGACACCAGAAGTAGGGTGTGTGGGAAAGGGCAGCTTCTCCTGCCTCAGATGTGAGGTGTGAGGACCAGAAACAGCCTGAGCACACAACCCTTGCAAGTTTAAGAGATAGATAGACAGATAGATAGATAGATAGATAGATAGATAGATAGATAGATAGATAGATAGATGATAGACAGACAGACGAGATAGATAGACAGACAGACAGACAGACAGACAGA